GAGACAAGAGTACATAAAATTAGAAATTCGTGATTAATTAGGTTTTGCAGCATATCATGAGGTAAATAAATACTATCTATACTAAAAAAAAAAGTATACGGTTTGAGAGAAAATTTGGAATTTGACCAAAAACTTTGAATAAAATAAGAAATAACGAATAATATGGAAAATTTTTAACTGACTTTTGGCAGTGAATATGCCTTGATTTCAACTTCGAAACAAAAAAAATTTTAGTTTCAATCTCTATTAATAATGAGCGTAAAACTTTTTAATATGTTTAAATAATAATTAAAACTTTAAAATTGCATTTATTTCAGACAATTATAAATATTATCATTATATTATCAAGTAAAAACGAGATTTTCAGCTAATTTTTCATTTTTTCTTCGATAACCATTTAGTGAATTTGAATAACCTTACGCTAAAGTGATTCTCCAGAGTTCAAGTTACTTATTATAAAAGTTTGAAATTTCTGGTAGCTTTTTTTCTGTTAATAAAAATAAATTTAATCTGTTCGGTTAACGAATCTCCATAAAATGACGTGTAAAATTACAATTTTTTAAAATTTCAATAACTTTTTAACGGTTTAGTGAATCGATTTGTAATTTTTACAGGAGTTTTAGAATTGAATGAGGAACGTTCTTCCAAATTTTTATTTGTCTCGTAGCATTTTGACATACCTCCCAAACATCCTTAAATGAATATCTGCAAATTTCTAAAAAATCTTAAAAAATCGAAACTGAAATGGGCATCTCGCGGAGTTACTAATTAACAATACCTTCAGTGAATTAATGATTACTGTTATAAATATTTAATAGTATACTAGTGCGAAGAGGAGAACGAAGCAAGCAATTTATTCAATTAATATGTGATAAGTGTAATTAATTTCCTTAGGTGTGGCGATTCTAATTTGAAAGCTTTCAGTTCATCTAATAAAAAACGCGTCCTGGGAATATATATGATAAAAATATGGTTACAAAATTATTCTATTTTCGTCACCTATAGATCCTAATTACTAGATAACAAATATTTAATGTAGGTATAAACTTGATGAACAATATTGTTTGCATAGCTTAATTTGTATGTAGTCACTTAAAATTTCTGCTAATAGTAAAACAAAACACAAAAATTACATTTACACCTTTATAATGACTTACAATTATCGTTTTGAATTATGTAAGTTATTATGACTAAATTAAGTATTTAGATCTATCTAGTAATGCACATGTAGGTGCTATGATTTAGAAAGATATTACTACATACAGTTTAACACTTAATATTTACTTAAATTAACGCAAAAAGAACTTATTACACAGTTTGTAGAAATGCCTGTTGTCGATAGAACAAATTTGCCATACTTTTTTTCTATTTTTATGTAACACGATCTATAAAACACCTGCTCTTATTGGGTACCCCAGGGACCTATCAATTTACTTAACCAGAATTCGCTATAAAAAAAGTTGACCGATTTGAATACGGGTTTTATTTGAGCATTCAATGGACACAATTGGGTATATTTTATCGAATTTCCACGAAAAAATAGGCTTCGCTTTATAAATTATGATTCAAACAACTTAAAGAATATGTAACGTAAGGTTTTACAATTAGTCAGAGATATCGTAACATTAAATTTGGACATACTGTATGCATTGCATGTTTCGTTATGATTAACAGTTGAATAATTTACATATTGTGTTACTACTGTTAGGATTAGGATTTTATAAGAGCAGTAAGTTAATTATAACGATAAGATAAGCGAATTTTTTAGTAAATTATTTAAAACTTTTCAGTATTTAAAAAAAAAAAAATGATAAAGCAATTTATTTTTGAATTCTATTTATAAATCGGAAACTGGACCGGTTTAAAAAAATAGTGCTACATATGTATTCGGTTTTCGGTTCGTTTTCTTGAACTTATTTCTTACGTTTAGTAAACATTTATTTATCGACAGTGACAACAGAACGTAATTTCCTCCTAACACAGCGTAGTAGGTCTTGTATGAGGACATTTATTTCGGACAAAAATTAATTTCCGTTATTGGAACAATGCATCCATCGTAACATCCTACTTACATAACATGTACAGGGCGTTTGTTTAATTTTCCGAAAAGCATCAATACTTTAAAAACTCAAACGGTCGGTGCTCGCTACATTATGTTAATTTCGTGCAAAACGATGTGCTGTTCGACATTCATTCAACAAGGATTATAACTTTTGTTTTAAAACAACAATTAACAAAAAAAAAAGACAACTTACGTTATCGTCACTTGTCATTTTGCTTAAAACTATTGCCACACTCCTATCGGGTATCAAATTCGAACTTGGACAATGTCACCCGAAGAAGAAAAAAAAAAAAAGAAATCGGAAAACAAATGCGAAAGAAATCAAAGTTGTCCCCGCGACTCTTGCAACGCAAGATCACCGACGTTACTGAGTGCCAAAGTTAACATCTCTTCTGTTAAAGGCTTAATTTACTTTACCAATGATAGTAATGGTGGTAATTATCTCGCAATTTAATTCAAGTAAATGTTGCACGTAAATTGTGTAGGCCACGGTTTAAGTTTCGCGATGTAAGAGCTACGCTGTTCGTGCAATGCGATGATAGTGATGATGCATCGAAATATCGTCCAAAATATCGCAAATGGAAACATGCCAACAAAAAATAACGAAATAACAGAAAACACCCCCTGATAATTTTTCGTTAAGATCGACATTTTAAACAATTTTATTATTTGAATTGGCTAGTCTTTATAGCGCCTTCGGGCAATTTTTGATAGCACCCCTTGAAAAACTAAAAAGTTTAAGGTTTCAGCCCCTCTCCCCCTCTAAAGTTTACAATGCACTTAATATTAAATTGTAGATTATTTCATAAATTACTAAAAATTAACTGCAAAATCACGACTTATAGTTAAACTGCACCACATACATTTAATATTCATTATTATTGCTAGTTGAATGGATTGTAAATTTGTTTCATTAAATTGTTTACAGTCATTAATAGCACTTGCAGCAAATCACATTTATTATTACTATTTTGCAAGCACAATACCATAATAGCTCAAATTGTTATTTATATTTTTTTTAAGGTTTTTTATTAGCCAAAAAAATTTACACACGCGAATTAAATTATTTCATAGTTTATTTTGCAATTAAATGAATATAAACTTTATTTGTAGTAATAAAGTAGCATATAATTATAGGCGATCGTTTTACTTAAATTTATTTTTATTTATTTTCGTAACTCAGTATATATATACTGATAAGCGTTATTTAATATTATTATAATAAAAATGGGAAATATCCCTAAAAACAGACAAAACAGTAAACGTAGCTAAAAATAAAAATATGTGTTGCACATGACGTAAACAGAATTTTGAAATTAGTGCACCTTGCCCTATTTAAAGACCTTACAACTATTTTAAATAAATTTTTCACGATATGTTCTGCAATAAGTAAAACTGTGTAAATTCTATTGAATTAAAATTAAATCTTTTTGTCACTAATCTGACTTAATTTATTTGCAGGGATAAGTACATAAAGTTCATACGTTAAATAGGATTGTTTTAAATAATTTCCAGGGTTCTTATTTAACTTTTACATTTACTTCTGGTAAGAAAACTTCTGTAGGTACGTTTAATTTGCGGATAACCGAAAATAACCCATCACTTACATATGTAATACGAATTGAATGGTCTATTTATAACTCATTTACGTACAATCGATTTATAATTATGTACCAAATTCAGACAAAGAACCTATAAAGTACAATTGCAGATCGTTAAAGATCAACGCACATAACGTATGGATTATACTTTTCAAACGGTAAAACTAGTGAAATACTACAAAAAAAAATCAGCTTTTCATAAATGTTATTTTTGTTTATTAGCTCAAAAATTAGAAACCCATGTATACTATCTACCCAAGCAAAACGTACGTGGTATATGTATTCTGGTCATTAGAAAATGAATAAGTATCTCAATAATATTTAGTCCAGCATTCATCAGTATCTAATAAAATTCTGTGCAACAATAAACTTTGTAGATACTTAAAAATGTGAATCTCGTTCGTATGTGAAATGTGGTATAGCAGTAGATACTTTTTGGACCGTCTTATTATCAATTCTATTACTTAAAATAATGACAATGTTACATAAGCAAGACGTGCTCGTATGTGTATGTAAATATGAGTACTACTAACACAGTTCTAACTGGATACAATGCCGGTAAATGAGCGGCAATGAATTAACGACATGATAACAGATGAATAGCGTTTAGCCTTGTGACAGTCTGCGGGGGCGGCCGGAAATTTCCTTTATTGCTCTTGCGTCACTGGCAAACCAGCATTTTTTTTTTTTAATGAATAACTATTGTAACTTGGCAATTTGAAAAACTGTGCAAAATAGATAGATTAATTCAAAATGAAATTAATAATTTAAAAGTCCGTACATTATCTTATGCAGCCCGCAACACTCCGCGCTATGTAAGATTGCCTAGCGGTACCTCCCAAATCATAATAATATATTGTACGGACT